CCGCCCGCCGCGCCGCAGCCCCATGTCCGCGCTCCCCGCCGGTACCGACATCAAGAGGGCTCTGGAGAACAGCCCCGAGACCAATATCGAGGATGAGCTGCCCGACGGGCCGCCGCAGCCGCGGCCCAAGAACTACCTGCTCCTCAGCATCCTCGCCTGCTTCTGTCCCGCCTATCCTGTTAACATCGTCGCCTTCGTCTTCGCCGTCATGGTGAGTAGCACCCCGCCGGGCGCCTGAGCCACCTTCGGCTCGCCCGGGACCTGCAGGAGCAAAGCGGGGCTGGAGGAGCCGTCAGGGTAGCGGGCATCCAGCCGCCTTTTTAACCACTTGTCCCTGGCACGTGTGGACAAAGTTAGGCGAGGCAGCGAGCCTGAGAGCATCAGCGGCTCAGTCAGGGTGTCCGCTTAGCTATCCCAGCAGCAGGTATAAAACGTGGAGTGAAAGGCTGTTTAAGTTTTCAGTATCAAGCTATATGAGGGAGGGATGGAGGTTTATCCCAGTTAATAGGATTTGTTACTCAACTAACTCACGCATTGAATTGGACATAGTGTCTATCTGTGAAAGTGGCAATTGGGGAGCAGAAATCAGATTTGCAGAGGAACAGATGTGGTTTCTACTTCAGCTAATCAAATTTGATAGAAGTGCCTTTTTTTCCAGTAAACAGGTTCTTTAGCCTGATACTATTTGCTAGAATAATACACACAGCAATAATTGTAAGCTGTTGGCAAAAACCCTTATAAAATTGAGTATTGAGTACACTAAGAGAACACCCTTACTCCTACAAGATGTAATTGATTTGCATAGTTCATAATAATCCAGCAATCCCGTTAACTTCAAAGGGATTATTAGAGCAGAATCTTCTTTGAGTTAAAAGTTGTGGAGTCAGATCCAGACTTTTCTGATAGAATACGTGACCAGTGTAATCAGTAATACTGCAATGTATTTCTGTTGTTTAGGAGCTGAAAAGGGTTTAAAACATGTTGTGTATTTTCATCCTTTTCTCTGACAGCCAGGCTGAAAAGGTAAGTAAAAATATAGTTGTTTCTTTTTGCAATTAAGTATAAGAATAATTACCTATGTCTAAAATGTACTAAAGCACACTTTTAAAGCTAGTAAGATTGATCTGAAATCACACCTAAATATTGGGATACATGCTTAAGCTTGAAAATTACTGAAGGAGCTATTCCAAAGCCATCTTCACGACCTTTTTCATCCAGATAAGTATTGGCTGTCATTTTTTTTTTCTACGTGTTTATTTTCTTTGTTGTTAACTGTACAGTATGCACTTTTCCTTGATCTGAGAAGATTTGGTTCTGCTGGTACCCAGCATCCCTTCCGACTGTGGACATTTAGGGTGCTATATAAAGTAATGAGAGCTGGTGATCTGGGGCTGTGAGCATCTGTTCACTGTGACAGTGCTTTCACCAAAGCACTGGGGCTGCACAGAAGTTAACTGTCAAGGACAGAATTTGGCCTCTAAAGATTTTTGCACTCCATATGGAGAAATCTCCACCCACACCCTAGTTGAAGTTCATGCAGGCTTTTGGAGTCAGGCTTAAGTAACTGTCACCAGGGGATATGTAGAAACCAGGGTGGGAAAAGCACTTCCTGAATGCTAAACAGTCTGTGCAGGTCTCAGCTGCCCACTCCCTTAAAGCGGGGGAAAACAAAACCCAAACCAATAATCTCCACTCCATGAATGCCTTCTGCTTGAACATCATTCTTGCCTAAAACCTCTCTTCTTCCATGAAAATAACGTGTCCAACTTGTTTTCCACAGCCTGATTCTCCTGCCTTTTAGAGCCGCAACCTATAATTACTCCATTAACCTCAGCTCCAGGTTCTGCATTTTATGGTTTTCTTTCCGTTACTTCTGGGATCTGCATCCTACTTCTCTTTCTCAGCTTGTTTCCTAGAGTTGCTAAGGGTTAACACTGAGATACAAGAGCAGGTTATTTTCTTTTCTTACAGAAGATACCTTTATAGTCTGCGGAGCTTGCCTGAGATAGAGAGGTATCTCAGAAGAGATAAAGACCCATGGAAGTGGAGTTCTTTATACATTTCCGCTTCCTAGAAAGGGTCTGGAAGGAAAAGTCCTGTTGGCTTCTAGAGGGGCGCCTTGTTTGCCTGTGTCTTGTCCTCCTTAAGTGCTCTCAATTCAGTCAATGTTTTCACTCTACTTTTAGAGTCTGGGCTCTAACACACCCTCAAATTAAATGACAGTTTTGTCTTCAGTCTCTTCTGTCTCTTCTGCTGCCCCATTTACACCTCCAGCACTGGTTTCTCACCTTTGGGGGCACAAACCTTACCATTTCAGATCTTACCTCCGTGACTATATTTTTAGAATCAAATCTCTCCCAAGTTTCTTTTCTTGTTCCTTACCTCCTTTGTGAAAGAAATCTGTTTCTTTTGACAGGGGTAAAAGGATAGCAGGAAGGAGAGACACTTAATGGCATTAGCGTGTTGATATATTGGCATTACAGAGCAGCCCCCTCAAGTGAGTTGCTGGTCACTTGCAGGTGTGAGGGTTGCTTGGCAGTTTTAGCAAATGGAGATCTGTTTTCCCCGGTGTCCTGGCCAGGACTGCTGGCTGTGGGGTTACTGTTCTCTTCAGTACTCTTCTGCAGTTCCAGCCAGATGCTGTCAGTTCTCCTGCTTCCTGTCGCTTCCAGCAGCTGTATCATGTTGCCGTACAATTACTTGGCTCACTCAACCCCTAAGGTGCCTCACTCAGACTTTCCTCATTCTTTCTCACATAGGTGAGACCACAGGCATCAGGGCAGGATTGTGGGGTGCAGGTACCAAGTCAAGAGGTTCATGTGACAGAAGAGACTTCTCTGGTGGGAGGCTGTGGCTAGACAGTGTGCCACTGAGCTCTTTGGCTGCTTACCTGCAGTCGTGTCCTGTTCCCCCTGTTGTGAACCCAAAGAGCGCTTAACTGCCAGTTCACTGCCAGCTGTATCTGAGAACTGGCCCCAGTGGGCTGGCTGTATGGAATCAGAGCTAGAGGGAGGCTGTGGGACAACTCTGGAAAATGAGGTGGTTAGATATTTCTTATACCAGCACTGAGGTCTGATAGGTGAACAAACTTTGGCTTTTCTTAGTACAGCACCTTCAGTTGTCTTTATTTCAAAGATCTGTATGTCAGACTAGTCATCTAATTCCATAGGGCCTTAGATTTGTAACGATTTCAAAACAGTCTCTCAAAAGCTATTTCTCCCGGATTGTTTGCTCTTAGCTCCCTGTTTATGTTGACACATTCTGTTTAATCATTTGCATGTTTCAAACAACATATGTGGTCAAGCTGTGACAATCTTGGCTCGCTCATCTGCCTCTGATAGAAACAAGTTCTTTGACTGCATTTGTTCCCCTTGGGATTCAGATGCCTTGTCTGTATATTAGTTTCCCTAAGCAGAGACAACGAGCAAGAGGGTGGTAGAAGTCATGGGACAGCAAAGGATGGAACTTGCTTTCTGAGGGAGTCACCTCTTCTAACTGGGATCCTAACAAGCCATGTACAGCATCTTGGCTTTGGCTAGGTCAGTGGCTAGCAGAGTGACCAGCGTCCCTGTACAGCTGTACTTTTAGTTAGAAAGTTTATTTGGAAAGTTTATTATTTATACAGCTTTTTTTTTAAGCATTTTTGCATGGCTTATCTTTGCAAACTGGTAAACTTTTCCTCTTCAGCAACACTTTCAACTTGTCCCCAGAGACGCCGATGTCCAGCATTTGTTTGCGTGCTGCCGCTATACAGCCTGCAGAGCAAACTCCCCTTTCATTGTGTCCTGCTCGTTACCTGTCTGTGTCATTTGCCAAAAAGCAGAGATCAAGCCTGGTTCTGAATCGCTCCCTGAGTCTTCTCCATTCCCCCTTCTTTCTCCTTCCCTGTAAGTTGTTCACAGTAAGTAGTCTTACTGAGCCAGGATATCTCATTCTTCTTTTGGTCTGATCTAGAGACGGTCTCATTTGTAGGCACAGCCAAGTAAGGTTTGTTACAGCCTGACTTAGGGAAAGCGTAGAAAATGTTGATCAGAGAACCTCAGTCTGGTCTGCCCAGATTTGTAAGAGATGTAGAGGAGAATTTCTTAAGTAATGTAGTATTCTTTCCGCTTTTGCCATAAACAGTGCTCTGGGAATGTGGAACAGAAAAAGCACATTAAAGGGGATTAATAGTTTGTAGCTAATTCAGCAAATTTCTGTTTATGTGAAGTTAAGTTGCTTCATTGTTGAACTGAGAATATATTTTATAAATAGATGTGTGTCAACCTGGTGAAGTCACTGAGATTGCTCAAGTAAATAAGCAGCTGCGGAACTGTGGCTTTAATTTAGTTTATGACTTCATAGTGAGCGAGGTAGCAGAAACCTGAGAAATCATATGGTATTAGGCTGAAAATGGATGAAATTTGTTTTAAAAGTTGGACAGACCAAATGTCACATGCAGATGCTGTATTCTGTGTATCTTGCCTAGCCCTTGGAAATAAAAAGATGTAACATTTAAGGCTTTAACAGTTAATGTTGTCTGTGTCTAACATTGAAAACTGGAAGCTTGATCCAAAGTTTGCAAACTTAGAAGCAGACGGAAGTAAATGAATTTGAAAGAGCTTTGCATCAGATCCCAACTACTCCCCCAAACCTCTTATTTTTTTTGAATATTAAATTATGCCATTTAATTTAAACCTCTTAATAAAGTAACTTTTGTCTCCTTCCTGTTTCTCCCAAATCCTCTTCTTTATCATTAATGCTCTTTTCCTCCTCTTCATCGTGGATTTGTGTTAAAATGACATTATTTATTAAAGTGCAGAGGGTGAATTATTTATGTGGTACCTGCGGAAATCACATGGACATTATCCAGGCTTCCTAAATACATTAGTAAAATTGCACAGAACTGCAGGCTGCTGCTGCCATGTCTTGCTTACAACTCTGTCTCAGTCTTGAGACCACATGTATGGGGAACTGAGTGTAGAGTGTTTGCAGGACCTCTCTCCAGATGTCATGGGAAGTGAGTCCTTTGGGTGGGGAGAACAAAGTCGGGGCTGGGGCATCAGTGGTACTTCTCCATGTTTCTTCCTGTGGCCACAGTCACGTTCATAGTTGCTGACAGAGGCAAGAGGAGAAGTCAGCCTTTTCAAGACCAAGCCAAGCCATGTTTCTCCTGATGCTCCTTTTATTGACCTTCCTGGATTTATTTTGAGAAAGCCTAAGCAAGCTCTTCTCCTGTAGACAGGACTGCTGAAAACAGTGGAGTAACTTAGGTGGGAGGAACTGTGCCACCCACCCTTTGTAACAGGAGGCCCCACTGGTGAAGAATCAGAGGTGACATCATCCTATTGGACTATGTGTTTGCATCCTTCTTTTACTTCCATCTCTTCCTTCTTCCCCTGCTATTTCCTTTAAGTCTGCTAGCCAATCTCAACAAAATTTGACAGCAGAACAGAGGTATTAGCAATATTCTTTAGGGAAATAAAATAGAGATATGTTTAGGCATGAAGGCTTCCAGGAAGAGATGTATCAGTGCTCTCTTTAAGGGCAAGAGTCATCAGCAGCTCAGCCTTTCTTAGACACCGGAGAATACGTACCTGCACTTATCCTTGAGATGCGATTCTAGGAATATAGGCTTCATTGCTTTGGGACTGTCTTGGCATGAGTCATCTTACTGCAGTGCTAACACAAAGGATGCATCTAGCCCATTAACTTCTGTGTGCTCACTAATCGACAGAACACACACAGATAATGTCCCTAATTATTTTTCTGCTTGGGGGGGTGCCTCTACAACAATGCTTGGTATCCTCTGAAGTTCATTCCTTTCCTGCTCTCCACACTCTCAGAACTTCACTCGGTTGAATTACCTGTTGTTCTCTCTTTGCTACAAAAAGGGATTCGTACGCATACACAAAGCACTTTTGTAATAGCAGTTAGTGATACCTCAAGCAGTCATTTTCTAAAGACAGCCTGAATTAGTCCACAGAACAGTTCATTTGATCAGGTCCCTGTTTCTCCCCCCACACCTCCCATTTCTAGCGTGCTTCCTGGAATACTTAGGAGATGCTGAAGAATAGGTTATGAATAATCTGATTCCCTGAGGAAGTATGCTGAGATAGTCCAACAGCTCAATTTGATAAAGAAATCTGAACTCGGTGTTCCTGTTTATGAACTCAAACTCTCCTGATCTTGCAAAATAGTTCTTCGTAATAATACTCTTCCCAACATATTGAGAAAAAGTTACTACAAACTGTGTTAGACTTATGTACTAGACTACTTCAGTGTCCTTCACTGAATCTTTTCTTTTAAAAAGTATGGTCTGGTTAAAACAAAAAAATAATTCAGAAAATCCTACAGTCTGTCTCACAAAAGACTAGAAGATCAGAGTGGTTGTATCACATCTTGCACTCTCTGCATGTAATGAATATAAAGCATCTGCTAAATCATGGGTGGATAAACTCAAGTCTGCTGAGATAATATCCGTGTGTCTGATGCATATCTCAGGATGTATATGAGAATCATTATCACTGCATTCCAAAAATGAAAAGGGACAGAATTTCTAGACCATGAAGATGGCACTCGGATGTTTTGTTTAGATGATCTATATTTCTTTGTTGTTGGGTTTTTTTTCCACCACCAGCAAGCTACCTGTTACTTCTTCAAACTTTGTTTTGAAAAGTAAAACATTGGAAAAATAGGAAATCAGTAAGCTTTTTTAAGAAGTTTTCCTGAGGCTTTCTGTAAAAATGCAGCCCATTTATCTTCCTTTTCATGCTTATGGTCCTATAAAGCATAAGACTTTATTTCCCTACTAGCGAAGTGGCTAACTAACAGTTCACATATACTACAAAAATATTTCCAGAGATAAAAGCCACTCATTTATGCAGGTGGGTGGATTAGAGTTGATTTGACAGCTCTTATGCTAGTGTGTACAAGAAAACTCATCATACGAATATAGCCTCACCCCTGAAAACGAAAGGACTGTAGTTGCAATGAAAGGTACTGAAAATGAGTGAGACAAAACTGGACACCCTGCTTACCTTGGACTGCCAGCAGTGGATTTTTATTCTTACAAAGCAAATCACTGTTTTCTGAAGTTCTTTCCACAGTACCAATGTGCACAGAACTTGATATTAGTTCAAAGCAGTCACATTGGTTTGTGTACAGATTTCTGCTTTAAAAAAGTTACAAACTCTGTTTCTCTTCTACAGGCTTTGAACAGTTATAATCAAGGAGATATAGAAGGGTCAAAAAGACTGGGTCGCAATGCACTCTGGGTTGCTGTTGCATCAATTATCATCGGCCTCGTCATTATTGGAATCTATTGTGTAGTTCATTTCACAACGGTAAGTAAAATGCTACTAGTTCCAATGCAGGGAGTTCTCTGTGCACAGGCTTCGGAATAAGAAACTACAGGTTGTCATAATTATCTATTAGTGTTAAAATTTAGGGATGCATCCATGTTTTCCAAAAGAGCAATTTTTACATATTTTGCAATTTAGAAAATTCTGTGGTTAAGTGCAAACGATTGTGTCTTAGCAGCAGTGGATTTTCTATAAATTCTTGCAGTTCCCATAGGTTTTTCCAATTCAGGCCAGTTTTTTGGGGGGGTTTTTTTTGCCCCTCAGTTTCACCATCTGTAAGGCCAAGTGCATGGAGATCCTTAGATTTCAGGTAATAGAGTTCCCATGTGATAATTCTAAGTCTCATACTATGTCCAATATATCTTTTAACTTTCCAAGGAGAAGACAACAGTAAATTACCGTTTCACTGTTTGATGTTAAGGTGACCATAACTGTATCAAAAGTGACGGCAAATGTAATATTGACTTGTCGTGCTGTGGGAGAAGGTCGCTCACTCTCAGTGCTGTGTGATCGACCTGCCTTCGTACGCCTCGAACAATAGTGAAGAAGCATGAGAAATGAATCTCTGTATACACAATGGTTACCCAGATGGATTATAAGCTTATTTGGAAAAGAGAACAGAAGTAATAATGGTATTGATATCCTTTCTTAAGGTTGTGCAACAATATGTTCTTTCCTCCATGGTAATGTGCGCTTCCTGTTAAAATAACCAATTTAAATTAATTTATTATTGGCTGGTTTGGTTGAAGAGCCTTTCAGTGCACTGTGCAAACTTATGTATAAACTATAAACTGAGATCACCTCATTCACCACTGAAATGCAAACATCTCTGGGGAGTAGAACAGAGAGTAGCAGGTTAAACGTGTACAAGATTTTCACACAAAACTTGAAGTACAACATATTGAACTGTAGGGAAGTTAGTGGAGATGGCCTCCATTTCTGTAGGATATTAGTTGATGATGCCACAGACTCGGAAGCTTACTGTATATTCATTAATTTCCCATGTATTTTGCAAGTATGAATCTCTCTTTGGTTCAGCTTGTGTTCAGTTTGTTCAGCCCTCACAGATTTAAAACCAAGTCATTTCAGGCTGGGTGTGCCAAGTTTTGTAATTGACAGCAGCAGTAAATTCTTCTGTTCCCTTCTACTACCTTACTCATCATTTCTCAGGCAAGGATAGCAGCGCAATAATTTTTTTTTAAGTCGGAGGAGAGCAGGGCAGCATGAGTGACAGACAACGCTGACCAGAAGCATGTACATTAACTAGGGCACACTACCTATGTTTAGTTGTAGTCAACATTTCACTTCTGCTACAGTAGGATCCTGTGGGCTGAATCTGTGAATGCTTCTTTGTGCCCATTGTCAGATACTAGTGGTAGTTAGCACTTTACATCTAGCTGCTATTTGTGCTCTACCCTCAAGGAAGTAAGCAGCAGTAGATCAGTATAATACAACTTTGTTTTTTCCTTAAGTTTTGTCTTTTGTGGGTTTTTTAAATTGGCTTGGCTTTTGTTTTTTATTTTTCTGAGAGAAAAATCTCTGTGTTAGATGGAACTATTGCCAGGTACCTGGGAACCCTCAGCACACTGCCAGGATATTAGTTTCTGTATTCAGTGAATAGTTTCCGTAGAGGTCTCTTGGCCAAACAGTACCTTGAGTTTTCTGAGGACTCAAGGTTTACTGGATTCACCCTGCTGTCTGGCTTTCCAGTCTCTTTACTGCTCCCCTTCTCCCTCTCACCTGTCACCCTCCAAAGAGCCCTTGCTTCTAAGAAAGTGTTTAATGGGAGCAATGATCTTCTTTATTCTTCTGATTTGAAAATGAGTGAACAGGAGCACCCAACTGGTCTTCCCACACTCCACGCTTACCTGAGCCCCCTTTATTGCCTTACTCTTGGACATTTATATTTTATGCTAAAGTGTCTTTGAGTTTGATGTGCCACTGGTGTGGATGACATTGCATGCTCCATGTGGTTATCTCACATCCATTTGTACCTTGGTCATGATTATTTACTAACAGCTGCTTTGCACTCTGCTATCATGAAGTGAGTGTAAATTGCTTCTATGCTAACTTTAATATATATGCTTCGGTGTTAGTAAAATAGTACAAAATAGCCTTAATAGAATAATACAGCAGTCATTCCTATAACTGATATATTTGATTACTATTAGGCACAGATTTGATGTTTCCATGACCCACATATGCATTTTTCCTGAAAGTTAACTTAGACTTCAGCAACATATATGAAAAGCTTGATCCTTTCTGGATTCATTACTATGTGTTTTATCCACATATTACCCAGTTGCTCCTGGTGATGTTCCTTGTGATTTGTTGGTCTTCAAAGGATAACAAGTCTCATTACAAATTACCATTGGGCATACACCCTTGTATTCTGCTTCCATATTCTTACGTATCTCTTCCTAGAGCTTGTTGTCTACCATTCTACCAGCCCATTTCTAATCCATGTTACTACTTTTATCTGTTCTCCCATGACTGCTAGAGCTTCTCACAGCGGGTGTTACTTGAGTATTCATAAACCCTTTGATAAATTTCATTAGCTCATTCTGATTTATACATGGTTCTGCTGACAGTATCAAAGATGCAAGGTGCCATGAGTTTGAGGGCTGAGTGAGCCTCACGAGTCTTCCACAACATCCCAGGTCTGTGCTTCTTGAAAGGAACAAACCTGAGACATCCAAGTCAGGTTGGCAGGAGGGAATCTCTATCAGTTGTTACACAGGTTTTCCTCTTGGTACAGAAACTTGGTTCAGGCTCAGCTGGCTATGAAGTCTCCTTCAAAACAACTCTCACCTTCTCCCAGGGGACTGGCTACACATGTCCTGGAAATGGAGATCTACAGGCCAAGAAGGAACCTTCATTCTCCTGCCAGAAATCACAAACTTCAGGCCTTCCCCATTGTGGAAGTCTCCATTCAGTTCTTGTTCAAGTGTAGTCTTCATACTTTGCTTTGTGGAGCTAGGCACCCCTCTCCAGAGTCTCTGTGAAGACCCTGTTGGTCTCCTGTTCATACACCCTGATGGTTTGCAGTCTGCTCACCTCCTCCTTGAAGCCCTTTTCCCTGGAGACTCAGTGCTTCAGTCAGAGTACAAGTCCCACCAGAGAGGCCACTGATGTCCCAGCCCCAAAGACAGGCAGCAGGCACTCACTGCAGCTGCAGCCTGGACAGCTACAGCACTGGAAAGTAATTCCATCTCTATGAATGGTATTCCTAGAAGACCAGTTCAATGAGGTCAGTGCCTAACTTGCTGAATTTCAGTAGCCTCTGAGTATCAAAACCCATGTGCCCTATTAAAAATTCCAACCAAAGTTATCCATTTGTTCCCACATCTCCTCTTCCAGCTTTTCAGTACCCAAACCTACTATGTGTTCCATCTTGCTTAGGAAGGGGGTTAAGTCCTGTGCTTTAAGCTGAGCTGAGGAGGGCTCCCATGGTACTCCACATGCCTCAGCCAGGAGAAAAAACATCCAGTCAGAGGTGTTGAGGGTAGAAATGATAGAAGCTGCAGAGAGAGGAAGTACAAGAAATTCTCGTTTTGAACAAACAGCAACATTACAGCCCAAATAATACTCCCCAGTAGGACTGGTAGACTTAGGAAGAGGAAGACCCTTCCTCTTTTCAGAAGAAGGGAGCTCTGAGCTTCCTTGCATGCCGCCTCTGGTTTATTCAGTTGCAGAGCAATGGTAGTACAGGAATAACAGCAGGCGACACCTACGTCTGCATGGAAGAAACAGCCTTGACTTTTCATTTTGAAGATTTGCTTGGTGCTAAGCCAACTCGGGGCTTCTACTCCTCCCTTGGAGAACCTCATTTTTCTTTAACACTGGCATGTTATCTTTAGCAAACATACATTAGGATATATAGTGATATATATATATTTATACAGCCTGGAACAGGGCCCACCCAACACTTGGGAACCATCTACCTTCTGCAGGCATGGCCCTGAATGTAGACAAGGGGAAGCTGTCACTTGCATCGCTGGGTTTAACAGCCTAGCCGCAAAACTTGTCGGTCTTGATCAATGTAAACTGGTGTTTTCCTCATTATGCTGGGGAATCACTGAGTGTTAAGCTGCAGTGTGTGCTGAATCAGGGCTGTCCCTCATGCCACACTAGGCCAAATTTAGTCTTACTCCATTCTGTAACTTTTACCCTCTCCTGTCAGCTTCTCCTGCACTCCTACCTTGCCAGTCCTGAATGCTGAATTACATTTCCATTGCTTGCTCAGATGTAACTTAAACTGGCATGTGTGTCACCACCGAGTCTAGCCCTGCATATGTGCCCATAGACATGTTGTCCATCAAGAACTACAGTGAGAAAAGGGACGTATTTGTCTTCCATAAGGAGACGTCACTATGAGCTGAGACAGTGCAGAGCTGTGTGCCATAGCATGCATGTGGCCTTAAATCTGCTGTAATATGCACGGTTAGAGAGTGAATGGCAAGATACCTAATGACAGGCAACACTCAGCTGTGAACCACGTCCTGAATCCTGCCTCTAGTTGTGTCCTTGCTTAAGAAAGACACAGTACACACACACACAAAAAAGGGAGAAGGGCTGCAAGGTATTATATGTGGACAGACAAAATAGACACAACCTCATTGGCTTGAGAAAGACAGACTTAGGAATTGGTAGTTAAAGGCAGTGAAATAAAGAGTGACTATTTGTTGTCTGTTATGAATAAGATGAAGGGGCGTCAGGAGAAAGCAGCTTTAAACAAGAAGGAGGTACTTTTCTATGTGATGTATGTTGCAGCTGTGGGACTTACTCCTTCTGGTTGCTGTGGATACAAAAAATATAAATGATTTGAAACAGCAACAAGCAAAGTTACAAAAAAAAGTTTAAATGCAAAGATGCAGATATAATCTTGGGCTCAGGAGGTTTCTCAGCTGTAGACTGCCAGAGCTGGAAGGCAGTAAAGGGAGAAATATCACCCTGGACGTAGCCTTTTCTTGTAAAGTCCATTTAGGTATTTGTAACATGCCACTGTCAGAGATGGGATGCTGCAAAGATGGCTGTTTGCTTCAAGCCTGTACCACTATTCTTGTGCTCCTTCATGAAGCGTGTTAGTAGCCTTTCCACTGACTTGGATGGATTTGGAGTCACCCTTCCTCTCTCTTCCTAAGTATTTTGATCAGCAGCTTTTGCTGCTAATGATTTTGTCAGTGAATGAGGGCTCTCCAGTAGTTCACAATCTGTGTTTTCAGAGCAGTCTTGAAATACTTGGAACAGATGCCAAATTCTGGTTGTTTTGCTTTTTGATAACACAAGGTGCTTAGTGTCTTTGGATTTCACCTGAGTCCCACTGGCAGGATCTGGGGAAACATAATCCTGGGCTGTGGAACCTCCTTACTTAAGTGAAGGAAGACCCCAGGTATCCCAAACCCTTTTCTTAATGGGATCTCAACATGTCATATTCTGCTTCATGCTACCATGGGAATCATGCATTCTTATTCCATTGCTGGATTTGCTGCATAGCCTGTTAGTAGTCTGAAACAATATGCAGCTTCTTACCTCACATGCTTTTAGACTCTCTCTTGTGTCTGAGCGATGCTTGACAATGCTGCTCAGGGCAGAACTAGAGCTCACATGAGTTTTGCTTCCCGATGGAGCCATAAAGCAGATCATGTAAAGCCCATGTCTTTTGTGCACCTCTCCAGTGGCTCCCTGCAGTCTAGGTAAGTAGGAGTGAGTCAAGTAGAAATGTGGAGAATGAGTAAGAGGTGTTAAAGTGAAGTAAAGACAAAAGCTTTTCTGCAGAGTTCTGACTGAGATAGCAACAGTTGTGGTATCAGGAAGGGTAGCCAAAGCACTGAAGAAATGCAAGAAACTCCTGCCAATGGACCAGTGTCCAAGACTTCTTAAATTCACATCTGAAGTTTATTGTCTTTGTTTATCTTGAACCCCAGGGCCACAGGCAGGGTAGAATTATCTTCTGGTTGTAACTTACGTTAGAAGGGTAGTCATGTTTAGTGACTTTGGAACTTAATGCAAACCATTATGATATTTAATGCTTTCGTAGAGGAGTGTGAACTTCTGACCCCTTCTTTAATCTCACTTGATCTAGAACTTCACCCCAAGGAAGTCACAGAAATACCACCTGTCAGCATGGCTTCGAAGGAAAACAGAGAGACAGCCAGGCTGTGCGGAAAGTACTAGCTTATACTGTTTCATAATGAGTAGGGTCCTTAAATCAAGCATATGTGTGGTAATGCAACATTGATAATTACTGGTAGAAGTAAAAGGAGTAAGCATTTAGACTGTGCACCAGGGACAGATGTATATGTACGTTTTTCTTACTAACTTAGAAATACTTCTTCAGGGGTAAAAGGCATGCAAGATTATTTTTAATATCTCTGCTGTCCCCTTCCTGAGCCTCTCAAAAGCCTTTGCAGCCATTTCACTGAGTAACTGTCTCTCAGAGGCAGAATAAACTGAGGGGCCAGTAAGATGACAGGAATTACACAGCCAGCCTCCACAACTTTACATTGCCAAACCTGTTCTCTGTACCTTACCATAGAAAACAAAGAATCAAGGAAGACTACCTGCCTTTTGCTGCAGGGATTGACCTGCCAGTAACTGACAGAGCACCAAGTCTGAAGTCAGGCCATTCCTATTGTCTTTTGCCCACACTAATTCTCGGTGCCCACTTAGCCAGTGAGCTCATATGCTGCTTTTCTATCAGTAAGGCTGCTAACTGATTATCTCTGTGATACCCTACCTCTTTTTACTGGATTTGTAAAAATGTTTGTAAAAAGATCTTAAAGTCTTCTACCTGTCTATCAAATGTGTTCAGTCAGCTCCGAGGCAGAGTAGTGGGTAGACATGTGAAGATGCACAGAGGCAATGTGATTACATCAGCCTTAGCAAATCACATTCAAAATTCTGGTCCAGCTGTTTCATCTGTGCATGGAGGAAATGTCCCCACCATAGATTCTGCCCATTGGAGTCCTGAGTAGCATCCAAGAGACAATCAACAAAGGAGTTAATGCTGTCTGCAGGATGTATTTACTGTTTAGTGCCTCATGTCCTAGATCTCTCTTTAAGGAGCTGCTACAAGGTAGCTGCTTGATGGAGAAGACAACTCAGACTTCAGCAGAGAACCCAGCATCCAGGGACCAGCCAGTGAGATCAGTACATCCATGGGTAATGTCCGAGATCTACCCCCAATACAAGAATTTGAGGGAACTTCTCAGATCTTTCCTCTCCTAATGCAGATGCACAAGAGGGGTTACCCAGTCCTTTTAAAACATCTGTCACATATTGCTGTTGTATTTACCAAGTTGCTGAAAGTATTGTTCTTGCCTGACTGTTTTATGTACCACTTCAAGGAAGCAGAGATGCTGTTGACCTCATGAAACTTTGTCAAATAAGAGCCCATTTCCTGGCAATGAAAGATCCTAACTTGCATTGATTCAGGTAACCCAGTTTAAAAATTCAGTTCAGATTGACAGATGACCACTGCCATTAGAAACTTAGCTCTTTGATTCAAAACTGTATTGAACCACTAATCTAGAGGGATGTTTGTTAAGAGAACAAGTGCCACTAATGTGGCATAATGTATCCATTAGGTAGAATTAATAATTTAAACTCACAAGGCAAACTCTCTGTCTTTTCTAGCCTTTAAAAATACATATTTCTGTGTCCTTGCAGCATGCTATCTGAAGCCCAGGACTGCACTTGGAGGATATCATCATGTAAATCTCAGGAGGGGAAAAAGAAGAAGAGAAGGAAGCCCTTCATTCCAGACTGTTAGATTTGAGCCTACAAGTCTGCAGAGGCATGTTGCTGGTGGATGAATTGATAGTCCAGTTAGTTAATCAGCATGGCGTTACCAGGTTTTCAAAATTATTTATTTATAATGAATCTCAGTATAAAGCAGCATTTTCTCTCTTATCCTAATCTATAATGAGATCTTGCCCTAACAACTCCCTTTTCTTTCTCATTTACATGGAATGCGTGCTGGATCCATGGTGTTCCCTGGCTGACCTTAGCCAGACAGAGCTAACATATCTAGACTGTTCATAGTGCATAATGTAAGATGCATAGCCTGCTGAAGCTAGAAGAACTCCTGTTGCCTCCAGTGGGTTTTGGATCAGGCCATTAAGGATTTTTTTATTACTTTAAAATAGCTTCAACATAACACAGTTGTAACCGTGGGTTTGTGATTTTATTCTGCTATGTGATTTTATAATGCTGTGGGCGTACTCTGACTCAGCGGCTGCTTTCTTCTGTCATCCCCAGCTTTTAGGTCTTTATCTTGGATTTTCAGCCACCTGGGACCGATTTCAGTCACTTAATTATTAAGAGACACTCTTCTTCCATAGCATCCATATTTTTCTTAATGATTTATTTTTGTTTTGTTGTCTTTCATTGTTGAACTCCCTTGACTTAGCTCCAGTCCTGCATTAAAGTTACACTGATCATATTTTTCTCTTTAAACTTCACATATGTAAAAAGTTCCTTTTTTATCTGACAAAAGATCTTTTTAAATAGATGTTCTTCATCCCTTTTTGTTCCTCTAGGAAGTCACATTGTTTCATTGTGTTCTGCTTTGTTCATGTCTTTTTTTTGTTTAGTTCATCCTCTCATCTTGCTATGAATGGTCTATATATCAATGCAGTTAGAGATGGACAGACTTTTGCACCCTTACGTAGTTACATACACTCTTGTGGATCCTCAGATACTACTCAGTGAACAGCCCTAGGTTACAGAATTGATGGCCTCTAAATTACTGCAGTTTCTTGATAACTTAATGAAAATTTAGCACAGGACAGCTGTTTTTTATTAGCTAAAAACTGAAAGAAAATACTTGTTTTGTCATACAAATATTCCATGTTAAAAGGAGTAAGCTCTAGTGAGCATTAAGACAGATGACTACATCTTCAGTGGTTGTTGCTCCATTTGCTTTAATTGTTACATCTTCAAGCAAGCTATGCCAACTTACACTTACTCTCCTTGCACTACCATAAATCTGGACTGATTACTCAGAAATGCATGGGAGTTTTGCAGGTGCAAGTGAGAAAAGTATCATGCCTGGCAGGAGTACAACTACCTATTAAAAAAAATAATAATCTCCCAGAAACCTTTACTTGTTAAAGCATATGCCTGGAAGTAGCATGTATTTTCTGTGCCTTGATATTATACTTTTAATGTGCTTTTTCCCTTTTATTTCTGCCGAATTCTGTTTTTCATTGAAGTCAGTGATGCATCGTCTGTCCTTAATTACTCCAGTATAAAACTTCACGGACACTGGTGAAATCAGTTGTTTTCTTCAGCATTTACACTGATCAAATTTGTCCACGTGGGAATCTTGCCACTGATTTTGATGATCCCAAGAATTGGCTGTTCTGTGAACTCCTCTTTGGTTTTTGAATACTATTTCAATGGTCTGATATGTCTTGTGGGACTTTCAGTAGCTTGCGTTATTATCAGATATGATAGAACTGTCATTGAGAAATGGAATAAAATTACTTTTAATTCACATCCATTCTGGTATGTGGGAAGTGTGTGTCCTAAGTTTTGTTGCCTCTTCTATTTTAAAGAGTAACATCCCTTTTTCTAACACCTTGGACAGTTTCAGAATAAAGTGAATCAAAGCAAAAGCAGGATTTCTGGCCTACATGATACTATACCACCAGCCCGTACTATAGCTAGTACATTCAGAAGTTGCTAGGGATCAGTTAATGCTCAAAATATCAGCAAGGTAGGCTCTTTGCTTAATTTTCAAAGTAGCATCCAGAAAGAGTG